GGGGGCGCTTGCAGCCTCCCTGCTCCCGGCCAGAGTGCCCGGCCAGCTGCAAACCTCTCCCCCCACCCCTCCCTGCTCGTGTGGGATGCTCCATCTGCCCCACCAGTCTGAGTTCACCAGCCGCGCCTGGCAGCACATGGGCGTTTAAAAGGTCCGGGTTGTGGGGAGCCCAGCATCAGGCTGCCACAGTCCAATGCCAAGCTCCTGTGTGCTGGGAACTAGGAAACTGTGTATGCCACCCAGCTGGGCAGCATGCAAGATTTTGCTAGGTCCTGGGGCAGAGGTGGCCACACATTCAATTTAAGGTGCATTACAAATGAGCCACAAAGTTACTCCACATACACATACACACATGTGGACTAACTGTATGGCTTATTTACTCTATTATCACGCCTTAAATTAACTTGCATGTATGGCTGAGTTACTATTTAAGGTGTGATTCATCTGTTATTCCATGTGATATATCTGTGTATTACCATGTTTTAAATATAAAGTCTTTTGGGGGCCTGAGAGACATCATCTTCGTAGCTGTTGTGGGCTCCCAAGAAGACAAGCCTTCTAAACCCCATCATCATGTCAGACAGTGTCTCTGAGGTTAGCTGTGTTTAGAGGCTGTAAAATGATGGGAAGGCCTACTTTTGAACATGCAGGTAACTTGCTCCAGCAGTATGCTCAGTGCTGTGCAAAACACAAAGATAAAGACAAGCCCTGCCCTGAACAACTTAGAGCTTGTAAGACAGTCGTAGGGAAGAAAAGACCAATTATTTGGGAGGAAGTCAATTTAAGATGGGAGGGGTTCCCATTAGCTCTCTCCCACGCCATCTATTAGCACTTGTTTTCCCAAAGACGGGAACAGACATACTTTCCACGTTACCATTCCATTTCATCAGTCAACATTGCCCTCCCTGAAGGACCTCTAGGCTGGACAGTCTTAACTCCTACCAGCCCAAGACTGTGTCCCAGTGTTAATGAGATTATGGGTTTTATAATCATAAATCCCTAAACCTCACATCAAACTATTGTAATGTTAACGCTTCTTAACCTTGTAGGCAGCATCTAGTTATGACAGCATGCATTTCAAACAAAAGCAAGAATGTTTTGACAGTATGACTTTATTCCAGCATCTACTGTTGAAGGAGCTTTCTTTTAAAAAATTGATCCAATTTTTATTGAAATCATGAACTTGCCATCATTTGGGTTAGATAAGAAGAGGCAAGCTTGAAGACGAACAGATCAAAGTTTTAAACCAGCTTTTAATCTTGTTCTTTTCTCTTGAAGAATGTACAGAAGAAAGACTGGATATTTCATTGTAGAAGTAATAAAAAATCATAAAAAATTCCAGGTATCAGACGTAATGGTTCTTGTGTTTCTTTTATTTTAGATCAGCAGGTTGTCTTTGATTTGCCTGAAAGAGACAAATAGTTTACAAGTCATATTTTCAAATCTTGTCTGATCCCTTTGTTCAAGGCAAAGCTAGATGAAGAATGTACCATGTGTTTGTTGTATAACTACAAGATACTCTCTGGAATAGAATAGTTAATTATGTTACAAAATTCACACTTACACCTTCTCTTGGAAGTGAATAAAAGTTCTATGTCTTATGTCAGAGCTGAATTTGTTCTCTCACCTGTAATACTGTGATCACATTCAAACTGAGGTTTAGTAGGCTATGATAAAATCCCTTCCTGTTGTAGGTCTCCAGATTCAATAGGCTAAATATATCTTTAAAATTAAATGCACTGCTTTTAAATGTATCAGAATAACAAGGTGGGGAAAAGATTACCTGTGAATCAATTTGGAGGTGTTATACACCCTCCCTTTATTCATTTCAAGATCAGTTCTAGTTGCAGTTATTTCCAACAAAAGCAGACCCTTTGAACTCTGACATAGGCAGTGTTCCAGGTCTTAAAAGTGTAACATCCTCCCAATCCTCTGTTCTAAAATTTCCATCTATACAATGATAGGAATCAGGATCCCAAATCCACATTGATCAAAAAACCAGCATAAGTGAAATCAGAAAAGGGCATTAGGTATCCAAATATGTTACTTAAGTATGATTCCCCCGGTCTCTATTTTAGTGAGATTGCACATGCAAACAGAAGCCTCAGGATGGTGACATAGGTGCACGCTCAGTTATGGAACATGAATTTACTACTGAAAGACATGGAGTAGTGGCTCCCTTCTACTGTTGGTGCTGCTGATTCTGCAAAGCAGTTCTGCATTTCTTGCTGCTGTAAGCAAGCACTTCCCAGTTTCTGAGAGCTGTGTTCTCATCTGGCAGTTGCTTCACCCTTTGGGGTTTGTCTGGAGATGCAGCATGAATATACAGACCCATACAGTACTGTAGCTCTTACAATCCTGGTATGAAAAAAAAAGTATTGCTAGGAAGTTTCATTGGGAAAGCACTTACAATTCAGCATCAAAGGTAGAGAAAGGTGAAGAGGAGGAAAAGGAAAAGGAAAGGGACCTAATATGCCATATTTACTTGCATTGAGCATGCCCCTGTATATAATATGCATCTTGGTTTTTAAGAGGCAGAATGAAGAGAAAAAATATTCTTTGCAGACACAGAGTAGCAGCAGCTATGGAGCTGAGCCTGCTTCCGAGCCTGCTCCCAGCCCTGCATGCTGGATTCAGCCTGTGAACTGAACCAGTGCGCTGAGTCTGGAACTACAGGCTGAGTCCAACCCTGCACGGGTATGGGTCTGTGGCAATTAACACTTCATCAATCCCCCACTGCCAAATTTCTGTACGCACAGGGATCCACTTTTCTTGCATGTAACGTGCATCTGAAGTTTCACCGGCTGCTTTTAACTGGAGGACATGGGGCTCAATATATGGTAAAGGGTTCAGCACTGACCCTGCAACTCACAATGTGTGGACAGACTTCTTGCACCTGCACACAGCTCCATTGAAATCAGCTGGGGCCCCCACACAGGTGCAGTAATCTGCAGGTAATATCAGCTGCTGACATAGTGAAAAGCACAGAAAGACATGCTTCTGCACAAACACTGAGTAACAATTAAGAATAATGACTGACATTTAAATGTACTTTTATTTTCTTGAATGAAAACCACTGGTGCTTTAGCAGTATCCTTTTGAAATAGCCGAATACTGTATTAAAGATAGGGGAACTGGGATCAGAATCTCATCAGAATGGAAATTAAAGCTAAGTACACGCAGTCAAAAAGCCTGCGGCTGGATCGATTCAACCTTCACAGGTTAGTCTAAACTGTAGATTGAACCAATAAGCAAGCCAACAGACACTCGCTTTTGATTCCGGAAACGCAGCCACATGCCTGCAGTGGCCCAGGCCAGAAGCCGGGGGGTGCTAGACCACATCTCTCTGCTTGGGACAAGGCTAGTCAGCCCACTCTGCATCCATACTACATCCATCCAGGTTTATCTTAAATTGGTTTTGGCCATTTTGGAAGTGGTTTATGTCCACTGAACTTCTGTTGTGTTACAGATTTGAACTGGTTTCCGATCACTTTTACTGGTTTATGTATAACTTCTGTCCCTTACTGAAGAGAAGTATTTTTCACTGTGCCTCAGTTTTTTAAATTTTGGTCTAAATGGCTTGCTCAAAGCCATAAACCAGATCAGAAACAAGGGTGGGAGTACAGTTTAAGAATGTCAAATCCCAGTCCTCTGCTCTTATTACTGGAGAGCATCTTCCTCAAAAATAAGTATAATTTAAGAGAAGAATAAATTGGTCCCCCAAATAGGAGATTGGTTCATACAGATCAGTTTTTACCTGCAGGCAATACCCAAAATAAAACGATTTATTATAATCATAGGCCCGTGCTTGTTCTACATTGAATCTACATTATAAATACCTTCCCCAGTGGAATTTACTCAACAGTAACTGAGGAGCCTTTAATCCACGCAAGATTTTAAAATAAGTGGTTTTTATTTTCCCACAGCATCCTCACTGGCCCTGTCAGTTTTTTTACACTGCACTTCACTGTTTCATGTAAAAATTGTGTCAGATTATTAAACAGCTGCCTGAAAATATGGTGATTTCTTCTGCATAAAGATATGCTTTTTACTAAAGAGGATTTTTGCATTTTCAGCGCCGTCTTGGAGATGCTGCAAAGAAAGCCATCAGCAAGCTGCAAGTCAGAACAATCAGAAAAGGTGATAAGGTAATTCTTCAAGGTTTTCACTTCAGAATGGAGCTTGCAGAGAGGCTCCTTTCACTCTTCCAGGAAGCAGGAAGCAGACGGGGGATGACAGTTACCTGTTCTCACTAACAAACACCCCACAGCCAGGGGAAGAGTGCTGATAAGCAATTTAAGGATGGAATGGAGCAGGGAAGGGAAGGGAAATAAAAATACAGTAACAGTCTTTTTAGTCTGACCTGTAAATATGTTACTGTTAGAATTTACAAATCAAATTCTCCAGTCCTCATCACTCTGGCAAACCCCACATTGGCAACAATACTGAAGTGTAAGACCTGTGGGACTGGATCCCCGAGGAAAAGCTTTTCTTTTCTTGTTTGTCTTCACATATACCGTATTTAATTCTCAATGAAAAATTAAATTGCAGAGGGTTACAAGGGGCTGGGGGCTTAGGTGGAACAACTGCTTTTTAGTAACTATTCATCTCCCTGTTCTTATCCTGCAATAAATGATAGCTAATGCAGGAAACTTAACCTTTTTACGTTCAGGGGCAAGCTGCCTCACTTTACCTTTCACTTAGGGTCTTATTACACGTCTTATTGCCCTTTGAGCTGGTCCAAATGTTAATCGGTGTTAGTGCTAGCTTGAGTTTGAAACAATTGCACATTCAAGCCAGTAGCCTTGAGGACTGAAAGGTAAGTCTGGTGTCCCCTTCCTTACCATCCTGGGCTGTTCTTGGCCCCCAGGGCTCTCCACCACCCCTCCACCCCTGTGCCCTCCTGGCTGACTTTCAGCCACCAGTGCTGTCCTGGGGGAGCAGGCAGAGAAGGGGAAACCCCCTGCCCAGTCCCTCCCATGAGTGCCAGGCTGTCTCTCTTTTCCAGACTGAATCCAGTGGGGGAGCAGGTTTGGATGGTGTAGTCACACAAACACAGCCTAGAATGGCTACACCTTAGTGTAACACGAGCTGGGTAACGCAGATCAGAGAGAAACCTAGGCTAAAGTGACGCAAGTTTAAGATGCCTAAAGAGTGCATAAAACTAATTTCACGTGTTACTGTGTGGACAAACCCAGGGTTGAAAGCTCCAGAAGCCACCCAAAATTAATATGTAACAAGGCCTTAGCATGGTGTAAGAGTGGACAGAAAGCCACTTATCGTGGAGCAGCTGACATAGAAGTCTCTACTCTTTGTTAATTCACTGTATCTTGTTATTGTCCATACCACTTAGGTTCATGTATGAAGAAATTAGCTCACAAGTTCTTTAAAAAATAATCTAATGAACCCTCTTTCCCACTCTTTCTCTCTGTCTTTTTTCATAGGAAACTGAGCCAGACTTTGATAATTGTGCTGTTTGTATTGAAGGTTACAAGCCCAATGATGTTGTCAGGATATTACCTTGCAGGTAAGTTAGTATTAAGTAGAGAGGCAGTTATAGTTCTGATATGTTGCTTTTAAGGGACATGGCCTCTATATTTAGGGCTAATTCTGATCTCTGAGAACTCTTCAGATAAAATTATCAGAGAATTTACATTATTTGGATTATGTGCTGTAATTTATTCCCTATTAATCTGATCTGTTTTATAAATTTAAATAACTTCAAGGAGTAGCAAGAACCATGAAACATCAGAGCCTACATTTCTCAATGTTCATGTTTGGCATGAGATTAGGTCAGGCTTTCTAGGTAACTGTAGGGTCTATATGGTGACCTTATAATCCCAGGAAGCAGTGTCCCCAAGAAAACTGCACTCTTCCAGATGAGCTGCTTCCTGAAATGGAAGCTTACCATGACATTGGAAACAAGTGAATTAGCACTGAATTAGCTCTGGCACCAAGCTAATAAACTAGTCTGTGTAGCAGGAGGCTGGTGGCTACTCTACCTTCTGTAGATCGAGGCCCCCGCAGTGAGGGAGGGAGTGGGGCTAGGGCTGGGGCAGGCACTGCCTAGTCAGGGCAGAGCAGGGCACGGGACAGAGCTGCAGCTTGTCCAGGGTGGGGAGGGGAGGGAAGCAGCTAATGCCACTGCACGCACCGTGAGAGGGCATGGGGGGCATGTGCCCCTGGATCTGCTTGTGGGGTGGACTGGGGCCAGGGCTGTGTCAAGCTCTTCTCAGCAGGGGGACTAGGCCAGGCTGTGGACGGCAATGGTGCTGAGACAGGGAGTTAGGGGGGGCTGCAGCCACCCCAAAATTCGCCATAGCCCTGTTCCCAGTGCCACCGCTGCCCACCATGAGCGCAGCAGCAGCCTGCCCTGCCCCACACGCAGATCCGGGGGCACATGCCCCCCATGCCTTCCCACTGTTTGACCCGCACCCCGTTCCCCCCAGATGAGCTGCGGCTCCATCCTGTGCCTGCCCCATAGATATATACTGAGTATCAGGCTGACAAAGTGAAGGCATTTTTGCTACCATTGTTCCCTCATAACTAGAAAAGCTGTAGGTTTCAGCCTGTTTAGAATTCTTTTAGGGAGTTCTGTGTGCTTTTATATTTTTGTAAGAGCCGGATTGCTACGTCGGTGGAATCTGTAAATATTGTAAGATCTTCACTTAAAAAAAAAAAAAAAAGGAGAGAAAGAGAGAGGCTTGATTTTGCTGTCATTTCTACCAGGTTTATGTTAGTACACTAATTCAGCTGACTTGCGAGAATTTTATTCCTGATCTAAACTAGTACTGAGGATAGATTCTAGCACAAGACCACAGGTATTGAAACTTTTTCTGCTGTACTTCTTTCCAATAAAGTCTAACTTCTCATTAAAAATTAAAACTCAAAAAAAAAATTCCCAAGGATGCCTTGAAAATAAAATTAAAGGAATCATAAAATAACACATCTTGCATGGCATACATTAACATAGAGTCAAGTATTCTACTTCATGCGCTTTGTTGTATGGAGGAATAAACACTGGATTTTTATCTTCTACTTGAAACAGATTCACTAACAAGAATGTGTATTCCTTTTCAGCTCTGTAGGAAATATGTGCTTCCCTGGTAGATGTTTTAAATGTTACCAGCTAGGCAATTTTAATAATTTCTGTGCCTGCTTATTTTTATCACTCAATAGCCTACCAGAAACAACTGTTTAATTATGAATTAAACCAAATACAGATCCCCAGCATTAACATGTTAAACAAGTAGTCTTTTTCCAAACATAGGCATAGACATGTTCCTTATTCTGGCAAAAGTACAGAAAATAGGAACATTGGACAAAACTTAAAACTTGGTTTAATAACCAGTATTTTCCTGTGGAACAAAGTTAGGAAATTTTATACAAAATATATAGGTAATCCCTTTGGTGGCAATTATACAGAAGAACTACATCTTAGCAAATCTTTCAGTTTTATAAATCACTCAGGCTTTGGTTATGCTTGGTATTATGAACAAAGTTCAACTGAAATGTATAGTGTTAAATAAGGCTGAATAGGAAACGCAGTCAACTCTTGGCTGACTTAAAAGTTTGCTTGGAAATGACTCAGGCTAAAAGGTTAGTAGCACGTCAGTCTTGTACACACAGTTTGAACTTTAGCAATGTTGAATTAAGAAAGCTGAAAAAGATTCCCTCCCAAGTAGCTACTTTATGGAAACCGTTCTCCCTACTATACATGTTTTCAGTAGTAACATTTAATAGATTGATAGGCATTTGCACACCCCAGTAGGTAACTTTATTAACGAATATCACTGGTGTTGTCAGTTAAGTGCCAACATCATGCTGAGTGCTATTTAAGAAATAAAAATAAAGACAGTCCCCACATTCAGGGCTTACAGTATTAAAAAGAAACCAAAGATAAGTTGCACTGAGCAACTGAGAACAGGGAATGAATATTCATAATAATAAAAAGTCTGCATCAGGTTAAAAAGAAAGGCTGACAATTATGTGAGGGAAAATCACACTCTTCACACTGAGTGTTTATTGCAGAAGGGAGACAAAGGCCTCCAGATATATATCTGCTCTTTCAGATTTCCACCGTATGCCTACTGGGGGCACCTTGTATATCTACAACATTAGAACATTAATCTGTAGTTCAGGGAAGATGTTAGATTCTCAACAAACCTTAGTAAAACTTCCACTTCCTTTTTTTCTAACGTGTCTAAAAGCCAGCACCAGAACATTAAAACTCAGTGATCTGGCTCAGTTTAAGATGTTGTTTCTGTCCCAGAAATTTGTGTGTACTTTACAGATTGCATATATGAGAGGTTGCCTCTTTCACCAGGCAATATTGCTGCCACCATGCTTACTAGAGGGACTCAACCTAAAGTCACTTTGTCACAAAGGCAAGAGCAGCTGGCAGAATGTTCTCCATGGGTCCTGTTCTTTGGAATTTTCTCTTCTGCGCCATAGATCCAAAATTACCCAATTGTGTTGATTTTCATGGTGTACTGTACAAAGCCAGTCTCCTTTTCCCAGACTTTTGGGAAGGGAGTTGGTTGGAACTTGTGATTGGGGTCACATTTATCTGTCTTCCTTTCTTTCAGGATGCTGTCAAGTTTATTTTTGTTTGACATAGTTTAAATATAAAATCATATTAAAGAAAGTTGCGTAGAGCCTTGGATCGATGCATGTAATGTATCAAATATACTTGCCTGTTTGTTTAGATTTGTGCATCAGCAGCTCTCCCACTCAATCACTGCATCTGGTAACTGTCTTGAGGCTTCTTTTTTAAGATTTGTGCTGTCCCCAAAATGTATATTGAAAATCCACCAGTCAGTACAGGCAGTCCTCAGACTTATGACACAATTTGGTTCCTGAAAATCTCGTCTTAAGTCGAAACATTGTAACTTGGAACCAATTTTCCAATAGGAAGCAATGTTATAAATGGGGGACCGGTTCCTGAACCAAGGCCCAGTACCCTGTTTTCACCAAAAAATAACCCAGAATTTATACTCAATCGATTATAGATGAGTAATATAACTACATTGATGTATTTATATTGTAAATAGCAATGGAAGGACTTCTTTGAGGTGTCTTTGCTGGATTCTTGGTTGGAGTCTTCTCAGGAGTCTTGACTGCAGGTTTTTCTGGAGTCTTGTCTGCTTGCTTAAAGAAAGTGTCCAAGGAAGTTTGGACACATGTTGTCTTCTTTTGCTTGTCAGTTTCTCTGTAGCAGCTATACACGTTGGATACGCCCCTACTCCCTGATGCACTGCATTCAGTGTTGGGGTCATGTTCCTCAAATGGACATGTCAGCTTCCAAATGTTGAAATGCCTTAGCCAACACTTTTGTTGTCAAGACTTCACAAGTAGGAGTCTCTTCAACAGTGGGTACATCTTCTTTCTCTGCTACTTTTTGCTGGTCATCCTGAATGATGCCTAAACTCGCAGGACCATGGGGTTTATCTTGATCCTCCAGCCAAATGATTAACAGCCCATAGCCCCCGGAGCGAAGCCATGGCTCGTCCAGCTGCTCCCCCACGGGGAGGCTGACAGTGCCCAGCTGCACCCTGGGGGCTATGGGCAGCCATGGAAGAAGCCACAGCTCATCTGGCTGCTCCCACCACGGCAAGGTAGGCAGTGCTGGGAGCAGGGGCTATGGGTGGTCACGGGAGAATTTGCAGCTTGTCCAGCTGCTCCCCCCACGGCGAGGTGGAAGGCGCTGGGAACGGGGGCTCTGCCCTGCTGCTGCTTGTCCAGCTGGGGATGGGGGAGGGTGGGATGCAGGTGCGGCTCGCTCTGGATGGAAGGCGCTGGGAGCAAGGGCTCTGCTCTGGCGCTGCTTGTCCAGCTGAGGCTAGGGAGCTCTGCGTAGAGGTGCTCCACTGCCTTGGACAAGTGGTGTGCAGCGGCAGAGCCACTCCTGCCTCCCTGCGCCTCCTGGCTGAGCCATGGTTTCGCTCCACCCCAGAGAGCAGTGGCAGGGCATGGAGGGGCTTGTGCCCTGGATCTACTTGAGGCGGCCTAGGCTGCTCCGGGAGGGTGGTGGGGAATTTTAGGGTGGCTGCAGTGCCCCTATAGCCCCCACTCTGCTACCCACCCCACACAGACCCGGGGGCACACCCCCCCACCATGCCCTGCAGTTGCCCCCACCCAACAGGGCAAAATCAAGGCTCATCCAGGAGACGCGGGCAGGCTGGAGAGGGTCCGCCGCTGTGCAACACCTGG